TGCAGTAGTTTCCCATATTTACACACAATTTTTCAGAAATAATTGTGAATTTATTATTTTTATTTTTGATTCAAGATCATTATCTGTTGGTAGAGGGTAGAATATCTTATTCTAAATGTATAAAAAAAATAACATGAACTCTTTGCATATAATTGAAACTTTTTACAGGTATTGCTAATTAAATTAAATAATTTTGATTTAGGGTTCACTTTAGGGGTGGTAGAGGGCTGAAGATGTTTTTTTAAAAATCCTAAAAAAAATACAGTGATTATACTTACCAAAAGGCATCTTTTTGGGGGTATTGTGTATTAAAACTAAACAAATAATTTTTTCGGCCCACCCTAATATATATATATTTCAAATTATTTTCAACCGTACTGTGTTAAATATTGATTTGTAGTCTCAGCAATTGGTCTGTGGGAAATAAAACTCTATTTGTTATTTCTCAATATTTCGTCACGATTTTGTGACTTTTTCAGACGAAAGAAGAAAGACTTCATGTCATTAGTAACATTCTTATTTGATAGCACATATTTTTGTTTTTGTGATAAATTCTATAAACAAATATTTGGAACACCAATGGGCAACAATTATCCTTGGAATCTCAAAATTGCTGTTTTCCTGTTGTATTTATAAATTTGTTGATGACATAATATGCAGTGTACCAGTCAACCATATTCAGACAGTACAAACGATCTTTAATTCACTTGATCAAAATATTCAATTCACTGTCAATTATGAAAATGAAAATAGTATACCTTTTTTAGATATCAAAGTTATAAGAACTAATGATAACAGAATCATATTAGATTGGTATCAAAAAGATACTGCATCCGGCAGATTTATAAATTATTATTCTAACCATCCTAGAAGTCAAACATTCAGCACAATTATATCCATAGATAAACAATATAATAGTAGAAATAGATAGGCAACTCAATGTATAAATTTCGTTTATTAGGCCCCTTGCGGCTGGGGTCAATACTAATCATCTTTTGGCGGCAAATTCGAATGACCACTCCTTACATACATACCCTTTAGCGCCTCTTGTGGGCTATTTCGTTACTAATTAAAATTTATTGGAAAATTAGGATATAAGATGCACAATTTTTTCTAGATATACGTATATTTATTTGTTGGTGAAGATAAAACAGTTATAAAATAATTATGTAATATTTATTACACATATTTGTAGAAGTTAAATACTATTATTTTTTGCTTTCTGACAACTTACTATCATTCTTTTTGTAATTTTTCCATGATTTGTACACAACGAACAATACAATAATTCACCATGTTTAGTTTTGTTACTTTTAGTTTTGTTACTAGCACAACACAAAAATTCTTTGCTACAATAGGTAACTCAAAATAAACTTTAAAAATTAAGTAACCAAATTTAAATTAAAATTACTAAGAATAAATGCAAACGAAAGTTAAAGATAATAAAATTGAAAACTTGTAAACAAACGGAAGATCTGTCATTAATTTGGATTGACAGAATCGATTGACATTGCTTCATTTGATTATTTTATTTGGTTTATGATTGGTTAGAGTCTTCGTGAGAGAGATAGGCTGTCATTTCTCTTTATTAACTCGCTGGGGTCAAAGTGATGGGGGAATGAACCAAGTCATTCATATAAGATTCCAGGCCATGATTATATCTATGAAAAATCGTGTAACGGCAATCTATGATCGGAATTTCCTAGATGTCAATTTAAAGAAACTTTTTGAAATGTTTTTAAACAATGGCTACCCAAAACATATATTAAAAAAACTTATTTATAACACTCACTTTTATAATACAGCTCTAAAAAATACTCCACAACCAGTTTCATACAAAAAGATACCTACATAAAAAATTTAACAGACCAAATTGTCCCACTTTTTAAAACATTTCCGAACATTAAATTAATTAAATACAAACCACTTCTAAATTCAAGGTTGTTCTCAAAAATAAAAGTTAAAACTCCAAATTCACTAATGAGTAATATAATTTACAGAATAAATTCCAGTCGATGTCAAAGTTGTTATACTGGGCAAAGTCAACAGTGGCGTAAACAACGTGTCTTTCAACACAAAAATGACTGTAACTTACGAAAAACTCTTGTGCCTTAGTGGACCACCACTTGAAGACAGGACATAACTTTGACTTTAATAATGTAAAAATCTTGGAACAAGTTGATAATTATAAAAATCGACTTTTCCTTAAAATGGTACACATTAATAAAACTCCTTAATCTATCAATTATAAGACAGACACCAACCATTTAAGTAATATCTACTGTAATATACTAAACAATTTTTGATATGATAGATTTTAATATCAGTATTACAATAACTGACTACGTACCATCAATTACATCTTATAGATCAATTTATTATGTTCCTGATTATTTCTCAATCCTCTACTTTTCCACCTTATAATATCGATAATACTGTCATAATAATTGTTTATTTTAACTTAGTCACTAAAAATTGTACAATGAGAATTCACTCTATAAAATATTGCGGTTACCATAACTAGAAAATAAATTAAAATCAAAAATGTCATTTATTTAAGTAGCTATGTTATCAAAATTTACATTTTTAACCTTATAGTTGTAAGTATTCAAATATTAAATTTGTTTACATATAATAATTACAATAATATAGTATAATATTAAGAAATTTTTTTAAGCAGTTTTCTCTATTTGCATTGCCGAATATATACCTCTCCTAATTCTCGCCATTCATCTCTATTGTTTATAAGACATTTCCACATTTGTCCTGCAGTTCTTTTAAAATCGTCGCTCCAGCGCATTTGCGGTGTGGTGTTTTGGCTTCATATAGCCGCCAATTCCCGATGTCTTTATTCCATCGGCGATCCTTAAGACGTTTTTTATGTCCAGGTGCCCATTCCATTTCAGTTTAGCTGTTTGTTCGATAGCTTCTTTTACTTTTGTTCTATTACGAATGTCTCATTATGGTCTTTGGTCCGCTAAAGTATACTTTAGCAGATTTTAATTGTTCTGTATGAGATTTTAGTTTATCTGTGTCTATATTCAAAGTTTTTCTAAATTTATTATAGAAAGCAAATACAAAGAAGAATATAAATATAAAGAAAAATATTATCAAACGCAATGATTTTTGAATTAACATTTTATGCATCAAAGATATCGATACTGGAAAAAAGCAACATTTTAAAATACTCTATGGGTAACAAAAGATAATAACGTATCAAAAAGTGCATAATTGCATCTCCTTAAATACACACATTAGAAACGCGTTAGGAACACCATTATCATTCAACTTTTCTCAATAAAAACTTAAAAACTTTTTTATTAATACATACCATTCAATTTGAAAACATGTTCTCTACAAATCAAGATAATATGCCTTGTAAATTAATATGTCAATTGTACCTACTCTTATATTGCGGCAAAAGTGACAGCTCCTCAAATTCCTACGATAAGTTGCTTCAAAATGCTAACAAATTAGTAATTTAAATTTTAAAAATACTTTTTAAATATGTTAAAATTTTACTAAAACAAAGATAGGCACGAAGGTTTGGCACTAAACATGTTCAAATGGTAAGTGTTGTGAATATGATTTAGGTTGGTCTGTCAAAATATGATATTTTACGTCACTTTGACGTATTCCGGAGAGTAATTTGACATTTGTGGCGTCAATGTGAGCAATTTAGTAATATCACTAAAAGACTTCGCTGTCGTTAATGTGAAACTACTCTTCGACAGGATCTATTTGTGGTACGATTAGCTCGTCAAAATAAGCATATAACTGCATGTGAAGTTTGGGGCCTTAGAGAATTCCCACGACATTGGTATGTATGACCAGACTTTAAGAAATAGATTACATGAAACTTGCAAGTCAAACGTCCATTAAGGGTTCTCATGTTAAGTCATCGAAATCGTGGACTCAGATTATGGTGGGCACAAAAACATGTGCATTGGGGCTTACAAGAATGAAGTTCTGTGTTATTTACAAATAAAGTTAGGTTTTGTCTCAACCCTAATTAAAAAAGAGTTTGAGTTAAAGAGAGTTTGAAGATGATCTGGTCGAAAAGAGAGACTTAGGCATGTACACGGTGAGGGTGTTGGTCCATATAGTGATTCATAAGTTGTGATGTGGTTTGGAATAATTTTTCATTATCAAACTGTTCCCGTTTTGTATCAGGCAATTTAAATCAATCTCAATATACTGATCGTATCGTAGAACCTGTTGTCCTTCCATTTACCATTGCTGATTTGCGTTACATGCAGCATAATGCAAGACCACATACTGCAGCAACAGTAAAAGATTAGTTTCATAACGAGGATATTACATTTTGTCTGGAGCCAGGGCAATTGGCAGTTCTTAATCTTAATCTGCACAATGTTTATACTGGATAACGTCTTTAAAGTCTTCTTAGACAGAAATGGATCCTGTTGCCTCAAAACAAAATTAATAATTTGATTTTAAGCAAGTCAAAAAGTGGACAAACTATAGTTAATACTGCTGAAGGAAGTACAGGTTATTAAGCGGATTGTTTGTTAGATTTTTATGTTTTATATTGACTTTAATAATTATCATTAATGTAGTACACTTCTCAAATTTTCTTTGATTATTTCATCATAAAGAAATCATGGTACACTAAAGTTAAGCTGAATTGATTGCAAACTTATCAGACATACAATATTTAAAACGATAACCCGATGTTATATTATAAATTGTATTTTTCAAACAAAACATAAGATCACTAAGATGTACCTAGATAAAGTAGCTGTCTTTTTGATCGAGATTTATATCCCCGAGACAATGCATATGGCATCATACAGAACATATCATAAAAATGATATTTGGTCGAGCAGAGAAGCTGTGTTCTTTATACCTTGTGAAAAGCAAAAAAAATATGATATCCATTTTGTAAGGAAACTTCTGGGATATTCTTTAATAGATGCCGTATTAACTCTCATTTTTTTTTTAAATCCATTAAAATTCGAATCTACCAATGGATAACTTACCTGATATCCATGTTCCATTAAATCTTAATGATTGAAAATCGTGGTTTAAAATATCATCCAACTGAATTCTGTTTCCTTTAATTCGAGGACCCTCATCGGGAGGAGTCAGGAGTACGACCGATGTTACAATAAGTGCCAGAACGACCACAATTACCAACAGAGCTATGAGTATACCCCTCCAGTTTCGTTGATTTGTATTGCTGGAGACGAGCTGCAACAAAATTGGAGATAAATAAAAAATGATTTATTTATAAAAACTGGTACGAATGGAGGTAATTTAAATTTTAACCCTCTAACCGGTAAGTCCTCCCTGAGGATGACATTTCATTAATTAAAATAATTTAACAAGTAACAAGTTATGTCGATTAAACCGTTTAGGCGTCTTTTTGGGTGGTTCAAAGTAATATATTGTTGCTCCTTTAAAAATTGTACCATACGTCATTTAAAATGTATTAGCAGTAGAGTAAAAGAAAGCATTGAGTAGACACGTATTTATTACTGCTCCGTATTACGAACAAATCAAAATTGTAAAAAATATTTCAAAGTATTGGATTGCAGTGGGAATTTTTGTGGTGATTATATGTATACAGCAAACGATGCATCATATCTATATAACTAAATCATTTTCTCTTTCTGCTCTCTCTTATCTATAGCATTACATATGTAATGATTGTGCAGATTTGCTCCCATATAAATTTGTAATAACACACGCGTGTATAAAAGTATAACTTCTACCGGCAGTCGCACTGGACTGCCACACCCGTTTTTTTATATCATAATTTATGACGATATGAGATGCAAAGTTACCTAACCCACAATGTTACCAAAACGAGTTTATTACGTTACAGTTATCCCTTATTTAAGTATTTTCAGATGCAGAGTGGCTCAAGTAATATTCGGCTACCGATTGGTAGATGTCGCCTTAAGTTTATTTTGAATTAAGCATCGGTAATTACTTATTTGTAAACAAGAGTATTGGTTAGATCTAGTTTAATAAAATAATTTTCTTCTCTTAAAAAAATCTCTTAAAAATAATTTTAAGAGATTATGGTAACAACTAAATAATACGGTTTGAGAAAAAATGTTGTGCCTATAAAGAAATTTGTTTGTTATATTGTCAAGGGTATTATTTCTGTGTTTTTACTGGTACCTGTAGAATTTAACAATGTTTGGTGATTTTCTGCAGTACCATTTAGTCTTAAAATTGATTATGTCAAATTTACATTCCTGAAGAGAATTTACATCCCTCGTGTAGTGATGAGCACTAGAACGAATATTTAATTCAATGTTATCCACATGAAATCAGAAGACTTTTTTTTAAAAAACAATAAGAAAGTACTATTATTAACAGAAAAATTGCTCTCACTAAATGTAAAGTTGAATGGATAATAATATAATGGATCTGTTTAGAAAAAAATAAGCCAATTATAATTTTGTTTAAATATTCCAGCAATGTATCCGTTCTATCCAATAAAATAGATCTAAAGAAACTAAATTCTGTTGTTTCAATAAACCTGAGTGATTGGCTTTATCCGAACGACCGTAAAATTGATGTAAAGAAAAACGCTAACCTAATGAAACTAATCCAGTTTATCCATCATAATATGTAAATCTGAAGACCGCGAAGATGTATCTGAAAATTGTATTGCCATTCTACTGATATAAAGGGAATGGCGGAATAACATTATTAAATCTTTAAACTTTTAAATGCACCTACTTCAATTTTGAATTCGAAAAAGTTCTTGATTTATTATTTTTATCTGTTATCTATTCGTTAAAGTAGTGTGATCAATAGTTATTATTGTTTACTTACTTTCGGTATGTCAAGACGGCATATTGCTTTCTATATAAAATATCAAAGATACCCAATCCACATTTTTGGAAAAAGTTTTAAGATTTAACATATTATAATTAAATCCCGAAAAAATGTCAAAATTCTATATTGTTCTGCAAAAGACTAGAAAAGACTACCTAGAAATTTTTCAAAGATTCTGGAAGAAAACATGGGAAAAGAGGCTAGTATACATAGCTGGCTTAGTAAATACAATCCAACCCAAACGTCACATCACAACATCGTCGATACACAACATCAAATCATTTGAGAAAAGGACACACATTTATATACATGCGTAAAGTGCAGAATAAAATATTTCCTGTGTGTAAAAAGATGTTTCTCCTAACTTTCTCTATTTTGTGGAGAGATCTGTCCGAGATTGTGATCACAGTGACTATTTACCAAAGTTACCGTCGCATTATTCTGGAAAGAACAATTCAAAAGTTTTTTTTTAGACCAATGTTACACAGTATACTGTGAAAACGTTAAAAACAGACGTTAAGTTGTTTTCAAAGATAAAAATACGAAGATGTCTGGAAACATCGAGTCGATCGGAAAAATCAAGCTAGAGAAGAACTGGACAAAGACAAAGTAGATGTTGTTAATAAAAAACCAAACTTATTCAAATGAATTTACAGGCTGTTCAGGTGGTACTAATCAAATATACTCCAGGAGGGAAGGTACTTTACAAAACAAATTTTGATCACGAGTGGCAGATATTACCTCAAAGAATGATTCAAGTTGCATTACCCATTACTTGGAACAAGTTTAATAAAGAACCAAGAAAAATACCTACATCGAAGTTCAAACACTTACAGGAGCTTACATTAATTATTTCCAAAGACTGTCATGATTATTACGATAACATACTTTACTTTACATAATAAGAATTGTCTTACTGTTACATTGTTTAATATAATTTAGTAAATAGTTTTTATTTATGTTACGTTCCAAATTTAAATTAGAAAGTCCCACCTCTATTTTATCACAATTTAAATAATTCAAGACGTGTAAGAGCGGTTGCCTATAATAATATATTATAAGCAAGGTGGCGAAAATAAAATTAGTAATTTTCAAATAGGGGTAATGTCTGGCAAATTGTGTTGAAGTTAAGGGAAAACGTCCTCTTTTTTGTGAAGAAACTAATTTAGATCGTTCTTTCTAGAGTCATCTTGGAAAAATTGGGATCATAAAATTGAAATGTTTGAATCTCGGTATTATTCGGTGACCTCCGTGTGTCAAGTTGTCAAGTGTTCGGAAAGACGACGGAAAGGGAGTGATTCTAGGGGATTCTAAGTTTAACGGTGTTACGGAAAAGTTGGGCTAGATTAAAAACGGCATTTTGTTTTTTGCTGCTGTTCCATGTGGGATCTGGACTAGTCCGAACCGTGTGGATATTCAAGGGGATTTGCTGCCTTCGTGGAAGGGTTTTTTTTAATATCCACAATTTCGCTAAAAAAAAAAGCGGATCTACAGTACACGTGAATACCGGGAGTCGCATCTAGATCAAGAAATTAGCCTTAATCACGAGTCCAAATAGCCGACTACGTTTCGGTCCAATTTGAGATATTTCAAACCCCTAATCTGGCTAAGAAGGGGTTTGTTTGTTTTTTTCTGCTTTTTCTTCTTCGTATTTTTCCGTCTGGCTGTAATTTTCAACTTTTCAACATTGTCACACAAGTCTATGTACATCGGCAATCGTATGGATTGGTGGTTTATTAAATAGTAACGTAGGGTAGGCTGTGGGCTAATTTACCTGGCGCCCCTGATATAGCTTCAGATTTTTTTTGTTTTGTGGACCGCACGACCATCTCCACTGTTTTGTCTAGCCGCGAGCCATTCCCAGACTGTCACCGTATAGCACTTTTCTTTCCGGGTGTACGTCTGAATTATATTTGGTACATTTTGTAATTTTTTTTTTATATAGATTCGGTTTTTTACGCCACATTTAACCAAATTTCATAACACAGGACTTACCTGCTTGGGATGAAATGAGATTAAGGCATTAATGGTGAAAGATTAATAAGACAAGTGCATAGCAATGGGAGAAGAAAATCTTTTTAAAATTGTAATAGCAGAATAAAATTCATTTTAATTACTAGTGATAATATCGAACACCCTTAAATTTGGTTAGTTTTTCTACATTACGTAAAATAGCACAATTAGGTAATATATCGTAATTAACAGAAATTGTCCAGTTTGTAAAATTCAATATGTCGTAAGCCACCACTAACGAGAAACAAATAATAGTACTAATTGAAACGTAATAAAACATTAATTTAGCAACGAAAAAGGTTTACACATATTAATTACATTTTTTTAAATTTCGTTTAAATGACATAAAACAGTTTTTGACTTCTCTAAAATTAACTGTTGGTGGGTTACGATATATTGCGGTTATTGCGACGATGTATTATACATTTTAAAGAAGACGACTTTAAAACCATATTGACAATATTCATAAAAAAATCATAGCATGTGATTCGTATCGATGGGTTAAAAAGAGAATCACATGATATGATGACAGTAAAATTCTCCTATTAATTAGTCTAAAGTAATATATTTCATGTAATCGAATGAACTATCTTACAATAAAGTCGTCCCAGGAACGTAACTTATCAATATTGGCAATATCATTTTAAAGTCGTCTACTTTAAAATGTATAATGTATGTCTGAATTGTCAATATAAATTAGTCAGATAAAACTAAATTATTAGAAGAATTTTTCACCAAGTAACAAAAAACAAAAATTGTTTAACTGATTAACGTTTGTATTTTCAGAACGATTTCCGAAGTGGAAATTGAAATGTCAATAAACTTATTTTAAACTTCAATTGTGGCTTATTCCCAATAAAATAGTAACTATTTTAAGGTGCGACAAGAAAATATCTTTAGAATAATCTTCCGGTATTATTTATTTGACATACTTATTTTTGGCGGAATTATATCATGCTTTATTTGATTTTAAAGAAGATTTATTGAATAACTTTTATCAAGTAATTTTTTCCTCTTATATTCTGTTAAGCGTTTTAATTGGATCATCGGTACTTATAAGATCTCTCTGTATTCTATAAGGATGCGAGTTTAAAAGGTTCTGAAAATAGTCGTTAGAGAGCTACTCGTCGTTTAGCTCTTGTTTTCACGTTGAAACTTTTATTATTTGGAGAATTTTCCGATAAGACCCTTTTAAAGTAGTCGATAAAAATAGCAGTAGCAGCAGCAGAGAAAGGTAATTCTAAAGCCGCTTTCGATTTGTGTATTCAAGCGGCAATCGACAACGCATATCTATTTATATTGAAGCAGTTAACTTACAGAAACAATACAATCTCGACGGATTAGGTATTGTTTGGAAATGTTAGAGATTTATATAGAATTTA